GATCCAATGGACAGGTAAAATTCCATTGGACAATAATTGGTCCATTGGATCCATTGGATCCATTGGACCATTGGAACATCTCTCTGGTTTCATAATCATGTCCACAAGGAGTCTTGCAACCTGTTAATTACGTAATGGTAAAAACGCGGAAGCTCTTATCCGGTTGATGCATTGTTCCGATCGGCAACCTTCACATGGTCTGTTATTCGGGTGATGCATAGTTCCGATAGTTGATCCATTGCTGGCCAATGGACATTCCATTTGTCCATTGGATCCAATGGACACGCAAAAGTCCAATGGAAAATTGGAGGTCCATTTGATCCATTTGACAAATGGAATGTCCAATGGCCTTTTGATTATTCCATTGGACATCTTGCATAGGTATTGGACATGTATGCTCCAGAAATAGAAAGTCTCTCCATTATTCTTAATCTAGAGGAAGCTCCACTATGAAAGTGACATACAGCAGATGCCACCGCACAACCTTAATACCATGGTGACACTACACTTCTCTTCATCACACACTTTCGACACTCTTTTGAGAGGGCATGGTAGTCTAGAACTTCCCCTGTATCCAATGCAATAACAAAAACTACTCCCATTAAGGATGCAAATCTCTGCTTCGCCCAAGTCTTGTCAAAAGAAACAGCTATATCCATAACAGTGTCATCATTAGCTTGCTCTCTATTTTCTTTTGAGATGAAGTCCTGAACCCTTTGACCTGCCAGTTGCATTTCTTCTTGGGCTTCTGCTTCCACGGCCACAAGAATCGTATCAACCATTTTGTGGTAAGATGGTAATGACAAGCATGGCATGTTCATGATCTACTACAAAAGGTAACAAGCCCTTCATAACCACTTCCTGTTTCCAGAGAATGGTACACTGCCCGTCGGTTCACATCATATGACTTCCCTCTTTACGAAACTGACAACAATGTTGGTAACAACTGGTGTACTCTCAGAGCATATGTTGCACTTAATGGTGAGGTCAGACATAAGACCATTTCTTGCACTGCTATCATTGCTCAGAATCAAATGGCCTAGTATACAGAAATAATTAAATGAAAACTGGTGTGAAATACTAAATATATAAAACATAATTGTGCTGTGGGTAAGTCCACTTTGCTAGCCAATATAATGTTTATATATGGGAAAAGTTTGTGTTGAAAAACATGGAGAAATAAAATTTACCATCAAACAAATTGAAAAAAGTAATGAAGGAAAAAATATTTATGGTAATCAAGGGAACAGTATACACAATCCAGGTTAGTCATCTTACCTCCCTCACAAACATGTGTTTCAGTTGAAAGAGTGAAGCTAATTTTGCAACATTTACAAGCCTATATCCTTCAACAGGGTCGTCTATCCCACCATCAGAGTTGTCCGATGAACTACTTGAAATAGTTCGACGTTTTAATTTGGCCCTAGAAGCACTCAAATCCAAAGGTTGATCAATCTCTGAACTGGTTGATGGTTGTGTCACCGACGATTCACCTTCATTTATTAGTACATTTTCTTGTGTCTTCGTTTTGTTTGTATATCCTTGAAGTCCAGTAAACTGCCTTCCTTTCTTCGACTTTCTGTGAACAGATCTTTTCTTTTTTCCAGGCACGAAATGTGAAAAACTTTGTCTCAATAATACCAGCAATAATATTATAAAATTTACAAGCTCATGAATAATTTTTAGATGTATCCCATCAGGTCCTGCGGCCCCACCAAACAAGTCTAAAACGTCATGTTATACACTGTGTAAGTGCTAGTTTATATTGCTCACAGTTTTGTTGGTCAAAAAAATGCAAAAAACAATGAAAATGGATAAAAAAAAATTCCCGTTACCATGGTAACTAGTACATGAATTTTAGCATGGTTGTTCAAATGCTAAAAAGATGCAAAATCCGGGCAGATTTCACAGAAAAAGTATTAAAACAAGATTCTACGATAATTGAAGTAGACTATTTTTCAAAAAAACAAAAATTGATATTTTTTATATAGTTTAGGTTAAGTCCCCCCTTAAGGACCTTAAGAGTTCTATTTCCTTAAAAGTGTCTTTAAAAGGTCAAAATTTCCTCAGTTTCAGGTTTTCAAGTTTCCTTTAAAATGAGAACCCTGCAACCGAGACTGAATTGCGTCGCCAATAGGCAGCCTATTTTGCGCGATTTCTTCTGTAGTTCTGTATTTTGCGAAATGGCGACGCAATATATTGCGCGCCTTCACGAGAAAGACCCTGGGAACCAGCCTAGACCTAGGCCTTCTAGTCTTACTTATATTTTTTTAATATTCAGCGCTTTTTCACATGAAAAGACTGGGACTAGGTGATTTGGGGGCGGGGCGGAGGAAGCAAGCCTAGAAGGCCTAGTTGATTTCCCAACAACAAGGCCAAAACTGCCCTGAAACTGCCCTGGTTGCGAAATGCCCAATTATTGCGTTCTCAAACAGAATTATTTGCAACTTAACGGCGAATTTAAACCGATACAGGTAAAATAAACTCATTTATAGTATAAACTTACTATTTTTATTTGTATACACGTCTAGAAAATCGGTTTTTTATCATAAAGTTCGAAGCAACACTATTAATATGTTGACAAGGTGTAGCGAAAGAACAAAATGAGTCAAAATATATACCAAAAGTAGAATCTTTCATGAAATTTTGTCTTATACACAAGTACATTAATATATATTTTCTCAATTTTGGCAAGAAGCAGTCTTGTGTTTGTAAAATATACAAAATAAACCGGATACATATATTATTAGCCCGTACAGTACTGTATATAAAAACGTACATTGTTTATACAAATGGTATATCTGTAATATTTGAACACTAATTTCAAATTCCTCATTCCCAATTCGCAAATATAGTATTCAAAGCAAAACAGTAGATTGTCTTGCGAATAAAAGAATTATTATTTTGTGCCGTTTCGCTACACCTTGTCAACATATATAAATAGTGTTGCTTCACACTTTATGATAAAAACCCCGATTTTCTAGACGTGTATACAAATAAAAACAGTAAGTTTATACTATAAATGAGTTTATTTTACCTGTATCGGTTTAAATTCGCTGTTAAGTTGCAAATAATTCTGTTTGAGAACACAATAATTGGGCATTTCGCAATCAGGGCAGTTTCAGGGCAGTTTTGGCCTTGTTGTTGGGAAATCCACTAGGCCTTCTATTTTTTCGCTTGCGTCAGGTTTGTGTCCTTCCTCCGCCCCGCCCCCAAATTACCTAGTCCCAGTCTTTTCATGTGAAAAAGCGCTGAATATTAAAAAAATATAAATAAAAATAGAAGGCCTAGCCAGAAGTCTCACTCGATGTCGGAATCTTTGATGTTGATGTCCCCGCGCATGTCGCCTCGCGCATCTTGGCCGTGTCTCGTTTCCAGTGCCCTAAACAAGTGTAATTTGACAAATTTACATGTAAACACCAGGGTGCATTCCATGTAGCCAAACGCGAAGATCTTCGGCGTGGAGTTGCGATGCCCTACGGCGCAGCGGCGTGCAAATGCTAATGTTGGCGTGCCGGCGTAGTATCAGTTTTCCCCTAAACGGCGTACAAACTTAATATAATACAATCAGAAAATATCGTCGTTAAGTCTCTATTGTTTATCGGATAACTTAACAGTTTCATGATCTTTTTTGCCAACCAAATCAAGTATAATATGTTACATGCAGTGGTTTCATATTTGATAAAACACTTCCTACTTAGTATTCCTTATATAACGAATACTAATTGGTTTTTGAAGCCGTTCAATACACTCGCGAGTCGTGTTTTATTGTGTCTAAAACCACCCGCGCGCAGGGCCGTGCCGACCGGAGGTGTGTGGGGGTGTAACACCCCCACCCACCCCCACCGCCCCCAATAATTGCTCATGTGGGCAATTTCAGGTAAATCCAGGTAGATTTGCACTGAGAAGAAATTCAGGTAAATGAACACAAATTCAGGTAATTTCTAGGCCCAGAGAAAGTTAATTAACAAAAATAAGTGTGAGTTTGGAGAAGAATGAGCTAAATTGACAAAAATTTTAGAGAATTGTACCAAATTTTCGGATTTAAGAGAAAAAAAGTTGGATAAATGGAGAAAATTTGGTAATGCCGGGAAAAATTGTTCCCCGTGGATATTCGTCCGACACCGGATCTTCCTGCTTCACGGCTATTCATCCGACAACGCTTTAAAAGCTAACACTAAACCACTAAAAGGGTTGCGTTGTTTCTTAAGAACGAAGCAACAACATATTCGATACGCTATACGTTTCGTACGCGGTGCGTAAGCGAAAATCACGAAGAAAAAAAAAAGTATAAAAAAAAATAATAAAATAATGGCGCGAGCAAGAATCGATCAGAATTTGGCGCACGCAATACGGGCGCACGCCTAAACCACAACACTACGAAGGATTCGCTTGAAATTCAATTAAATTTACGCTGTTTTATTTTTAACGAGTTTAACGATGACATGTCGGGAAAACATTTTTGACCCCTAAAATGGCACACTGACCGAAATTTTTTTGGCGAGGGGGGGAGGTCGCCGTAAAATTTTGCCAAAATATAGATTAAATAAATCTGGCAGTCTGGCGGCGTGTGCGAATTTTCCAGCGGCGGAACTTCGGCGTGCACTCTACATGGAATGCACCCTGGTGTAAACATTAAGGAGTGAGGAAGTTAAAACGATACCAATCGAGTTTTAGAGCTTTGGTGACCATTTTAAAAGAATATATGATAAATTCAAAGGTAAGTCTATCGTATTGCATTGTCTTAAATGAATTCTCAGCAATAAATGGATCATAAACTTAGCTAAATTTACTGTTGACAACGAGGTTGACAGATCCATTGCTTTTTTGCCTTGAATAGCTTTACCATAGTCATTTTACCTTAAAATGTAGCTACCGAGGATATCTCTAAGAGATTTTACACAGATTATTTGCAAAATCTCACGATTTAATCATGCTGATAACATGAAAATCCTTGTGCCATTCTATACTTGGCATAATCTCTACATCAATAGTTCACCAGTTCACTAATATAAATTCAATATATTTTTGAACCAGTCCATATATTATTATACACAATGTAGTATAGTTAATTTGACCATATTTGAGAAGTAAGGGTGTATTTCATTACACAGACACTGCTGAATTTTAGGTTACATGCCATTGGATTGATATATAAAACACTTGTAAAACACACATTATCTTGTTGATAGAATAGTTATTTGCAGTATACTAACTGTTGGCATACTCTATTTCAGGACTATCAATTGTTTTTGTCACTGGCAGTCTTTGAAATACAATCTTGCTCTGTGGCCTTTACTGACAAGTTGGCTTTTACTACATATGTGGCACTGACACTTCTTTAATTAATGTACCAGTCAATGTAAACCCCACAACCAGGGAGGGGCAGGGATTTTGACTTGGAGGGGTAGTAAAAAAGCGAAATTGTCCCCGCCCCCAGGGACGTCAATGTCCCCTGCATGTCTCTTAACCCCAGGAAAATAGTTTTGTATAATCATATATCAGCAATAGATAATCAAATTCATTTATGTTGTTGTATTTAAACTTTTCTTGTCAAGAAAACTAAAACAGCAACACAGGATATATATGTTAACTACTGTCCAAGTCTCCCATCATCGGGGACAAATTTATAATCAAAACTGACCACTTTCCCCGTTAAACCTTCCACCCCTCCCCGGTTGGGGGCAGGGATTTACATTGACTGGTGCATAACTAGATGATTGCATGAAGAATTGCATGGAAGTTGATTTATAATTAGTTTATGAATAAACTCACACTTGCATTATAATGGTTGATCAAATATATCATATGCATTTGATTGGTTGATGGTCCCTTAATGGTAATGGTAGTCAAATCTGAACCTATATAATGTCAATATACTGGAAAAGTATGAAATTAGGTTTTAATTGTCAATGTTGTGGAAAGTAAATAAATCAAACAATTCTGTGTGTTTCAACTAACTAGTTCACTATCACTTTGGTTTTGAAATCAAAGAATCTTTAACCTGGTTGAGCTTTTGAAAAAGTAGCTGATTGATTGAACGCAAGATTATTTTACTCTGTCTAACGCCAGACAATTTCACTCGTCAAGGGGAAAGTGCTGCCACTCAGTGAACTCAATCAGAGCTCAATGAGCAGCAGCACTCTCCCTCGATAAGTAAAATCATCTGGCATTAGATGAAGTGAAATAAACTAGTAAAGTAGGGTGCATTGGGGCACAATGCAGCTTACTGGGTTAACTGGAAAATATATTTATTAAACAATATACACCCTATACTTGTATTTCAATTCACAGCATGATTTAGTATGCTTATGTCTATTTGACCCAAGTACCTGACAGGAATGATATTTGAATCACACCTGTATTCCTTGAACAAAGCTAATTTAAATGTACAGTAATTGTACATGAATCATGTAAATGTAAAAACTAGCTAGAGCAAAAACACACCCACACAGCTTTGTTTTTTTTATTTTTCTTGAGAAGGAATAACTGAGACTACTGAGTTACAATGAGACCAGTATCAACAATTTCAAAAAGGTATTGTACAAAAATATTACAAACATAAGACACTTTAAAGACAGAAAAAACATGAAGTATGTCACTACAGAAACTGTATTCTGTGATATAGATGATATTGCTTTAAAGAAACTTGCAGCTTTTAGCAGTTGTGTAAGGGCCTGTTTATATCGAAACTGGCTGGCCCGCTAAGTGAGACAGCCCGGTAAGTGAGATCTCGCTGTCTAGTTATTTTTATAGTACAAATTATCATTTCTATGGACAAGCGGGCAGGCCCGGTTGCCAAGACCAGGATGGAAATTTCTCCACATAAACAATCATAAGCAGGCTAGCCCGGTTGCCGGGATGAAAGTTCAAAGATACTGCCGCAAGCTATTTTTAACAACTGTCAAAATAATGTCAAAACAACAAAATTGTCCCGGTAAGCGGAATGAAATTTTCTCAAATAAACACAAGAGAAAATTATTGAGAAATCATCCTGCTTACCTACCTTACCGGGCTGTCTTGCTAAGCGCGCCAGCCCGGCTTCCATACAAACAGGCCCTAACAGTCTCTGTCAGGCAATTACAATGTTCTAATGTCCAAACTCTAAAGTATTATAAACAAGCAGAACAGACCACTTATTGCAAGTTGCTAGTATTATATAAGTCATATCAACATGTGATCTCGACAATATACAGTGTATAAACTAAAGTAATTCAGCTTCTACACATGAAGCAACTTTAAACACTATCCTTACACTTTATCAATTCATTGAAGTTTGTACTTAAAAGACATTTTATTTGTAGTATTAAATCATAAGACATATTCTATTTGTAGTATCAAGTCACATCAGGATTTTATAATCTAGCGTCTTTGGACCCAAGGGATCTAGAGTTCTATCTTGTTAAAACCTATCCAAGGAAAAACAAGAAAGGGATATTGAAGTAATGGTGTTTTTGAGCCAAATAAATTCGAATATCCACAAGTATAAAAGCAGAACTCCGTATATACCGGAGACAAAATGGCATCATAGCGAACACATTTTAATGATGCTCAAATTTATATTCAATGCGCTATATTTTTAAAAATATGACTCTGTTTGCTTTCTAAATACAACAAAATTACTGCTTTACCTTCTGTTCAAATAGTTCCACAGATAAATCGAAGTCACAATCGTACTACTTGAAAAAAAAGCTGTTTTTACTGTAGAAATGACAACTTCCCAATATAATTTTCTATTGTCAACACTGCATTACACTTGTTTAGCTCGCGCATGCGCAGTATAAAAGATGGGACATGTTTCCGCTTGAGTAAGACTTCTGGTCCTATTATCTCTTCTGTGGCCTAGGTCTAGGCTGCCTGGGAACGAGGTAGGAAAAATTCGATCACACTGTTCAGCGGTTTGACGTGCCATTTCGGTATCATCTAGCGCACAAAGTTTTGAAATAAAATACAGTTCGACAGTTCGTCAAAAAGACTCAAATTCTTCGAAATTTAGAGTTATTTCTTTTAAATTAACAAGAAGAAAAGCCTTTTGTTGTGGTGAGAAGAGAAAAACGTGAATCAAATCATGTCTGATCAGCGTGAAGAGAGGCGTAAAAGAGCACACACTAGCGGGAAACCTTTAAATGAATGCGATGTTTCTAAGAAGAAATTTAGAATATCTGGCGATTTGGCAAAACATAAGAGAACACACACAGGGGACAAGCCTTATGAATGTGATGTCTGTAAGAAGAGATTTAGACAATCAGGTAATTTAACTATACACAAAAGAACACACACTGGGGACAAGCCTTATGAATGTGATGTTTGTAAGAAGAAATTTAAAAGATCAGATCATTTGGCAAAACATAAGAGAACACACACAGGGGACAAGCCTTATGAATGTGATGTTTGTAAGAAGAGATTTAAAAGATCAGATCATTTGGCAAAACATAAGAGAACACATACAGGGGACAAGCCTTATGAATGTGATGTCTGTAAGAAGAGATTTAGACAATCAGGTAATTTAGCTATACACAAAAGAACACACACTGCAGACAAGCCTTATGAATGTGATGTTTGTAAAAAGAAATTTGGAGAATCTCACGATTTAACTGTACATAAGAGAACACACACTGGAGATAAACCTTATGAATGTGATGTTTGTAATAAGAAATTTGCACAATCAGGTAATTTAGCAACACATAAACGAACACACACTGGAGACAAACCTTATGAATGTGATGTTTGTAAGAAACGATTTAGACAATCAAGTAATTTAGCTTTCCATAAACAAACACACACTGGAGAGAAACCTTATGAATGTGATGTTTGTAAGAAGAAATTTAGACAATCAAGTGATTTAGCTTTCCATGAACAAACACACACTGGAGAGAAACCTTATGAATGTGATGTTTGTAAGAAGAAATTTAGACAATCAAGTGATTTAGCTTTCCATGAACAAACACACACTGGAGAGAAACCTTATGAATGTGATGCTTGTAAGAAGAAATTTAAAAGATCAGATGTTTTGGCAAAACATAAGAGAACACACACTGGAGAGAAACCTTATGAATGTGATGTTTGTAAGAAGAAATTTGCGAGATCAGATGATTTGGTGACACATAAACGAACACACACTGGAGACAAACCTTATGAATGTGATGTTTGTAAAAAACGATTTTCCCAATCAAGTAGTTTTACAAGACATATTAAGAGAAAACACACAGGAGGCAAGCCTTATGAATGTGATGTTTGTAAAAAACGATTTCCCCAATCAAGTAATTTAGCAAAACATAAAATAACACACCACACTGCAGATGCAGAGAAGCCTTATGAATGTGATGTTTGTAAGAAGAAATTTAGAAAATCTCACGATTTAGCTGTACATAAGAGGACACACACTGGAGATAGACCTTATGAATGTGATGTTTGTAAGAAGAAATTTGCACAATCAAGTAATTTAGCAACACATAAACGAACACACACTGGAGACAAGCCTTATGAATGTGATGTTTGTAAGAAGAGATTTAGACAATCAAGTAATTTAACTTTCCATAAACAAACACACACAGGGGACAAACCTTATGAATGTGATGTTTGTAAGAAGAAATTTAAAAAAGTAGATCATTTGGTCAACCATAAGAGAATACACAGTGGAGAGAAACCTTATGAATGTGATGTTTGTAGGATGAGATTTACGGGATCAAGTAATTTAGCTGCACATAAAAGAACACATACTGGAGACAAACCTTATGAATGTGATGTTTGTAAGAAGAAATTTAAACATTCAGGTAGTCTAACTACACACAAAAGAAAACACACTGGAGACGAACCGTATGAATGTGAGGTTTGCAAGAAGAGATTTAGACTATCGGGAAGTCTTAATTATCACAAAATGGGGCATTTGTTTTGCAACAGTTGCCAGAGGGAGATTATTGAACCAGAAAATTTGCAAGAACATTTTGTTCAAGATGAAAACATTGGAAAGTACACTTGTCAGAAATGTAAGAAGGGATTTTCTAATTTTATCAAATTGGTTCAACATATAGCAAGGCAACATGGCAATGATGGAAACTATCAATGTGGTTTATGTCAAGAACTTAAATCAAAAGAACCAACTGGTATTGGATATGTTTGTTGTGTGTGTGATGTTGTGTTTGATATTCCCAGAGATCTTGAAGATCACATGACCACCCATGACTCAATGTGAATATTGTTGCCAGCTTTGAGTATATACCTGCAGCGAGTACATTCAGATTCCAGTTTAGTTTTATATGAAATATACATTGGCATTTGTATCCGACTAGTTGTTTATATTTCTCATGCCTATTACTTACTGTGATGTAAGCTAATGTAGATCACTACATAGGCAGAGGTTAGTCTCAACCTCATTCCCAGGGTCTGATCCTGGGTACGAGGTTGAGATTAGTCTATGTTCCTGGTGTTAAATGTCTAAATTATAAAAAGTAGGATGTAGAATGTATAGAGGGGAAATTCTTTTCTATAAATTCTATTGACAAGGCTTTTAGCCAGGGCAGAGATATTGTTTTAGTTAGTTTTATTATTTATTTTAGGGGTTGGGTGCAGTGGTGCCTAAATGACTTTGAATTTATACTCGAGTAAAAGTAAAAGTAGAAGTAATTAACAATAAAACGACCTGAGTAAGAGTAAAAAGTACTGGAGGAAAAACGTACTTTAAGTAAAAAGTACAAAGTATCCTTAAAAAATACTTGAAGTCCAAAGTAAAAGTAGTTGTCTGTAGAGTGTGTGTGTGGGGGCTTTCAAAACAGCACGCGCATTATAAATATACAATATTTTACGGCATGGTCTACTTTACAGACCCCGTTGAAGATATAAGAAATCCATTAAATAAATAATGCTTATAAGTAAGCCACAGACCAGAGATGCCAAACGCATGTAGAGGTCATATTACCTATCCTAAAAGTAAAATAAATTGGAAATAAATTGTAAAATTAAACAAAAGTTAGAAAGTAACGAAATACTTCGGGCCACAAAATGAAAATAACGAACGGTAAAACCATGGATAATAAAATAAATGTAATAACGCAAAAAATAAAGTCGAATAATTAAATTGTTAAACAGAGTAGTCTAAAATATTCTACGCAGGGTGTCAAATGAAAGTGATGTCCAGATCAGTCATGCATGAGTGCATGACACAAACTGAATATTTTCCCAATGAAAATGCTCATATATATATATATATATATATATATATACATATATATATATATATATATATATATATATATATATATAAATATACATATATACATATACATATATATACATATATATATATATATATATATATATATATATATATATATATATATATATATATATATATATATATATATATATATATATATATAATATATATATAATACATATATATATATATATATATAT